ATGAAGTCTGCCAAGTCCTTGTTGACCATCTGTGGAGTGAGTGCGTGTCCAGTCATATGCCCAAGACTCAAGATGATTTCAAGAAAAAAATGTTAGATATGGATGAGTTTTGGCAATTCCCTTGCTGTCGGGCAGCAATAGACGGCTGTCATATTCCCATTAAGTGCCCTCCTGGTGGACTAGAAGCCTGCAAGGAGTATCATAACTTTAAAAACTTGTATTCCATAGTACTAATGGGGCTGGTAGATTCCCATTGCAGGTATATATTACATGCTGTAATTTTTCGTTTAGCGGACCTCTGGAACTCGATCAAAGAAGGTTTTATTCCAATGATTGGCAAAACTGTGAGGGATGTTACTGTCCCGCCTCTCATTGTTGGAGACTCCGCATTTCCCCTTTGTTCTTGGCTACTGAAACCATATACCAATGCTGTATTGACACCTCAGCAGCATTACTTCAACTATCGCTTGTCTAGAGCGTGCATGGTCACAGAAGCTGCATATGGTCAACTTAAGGGGAGGTGGAGGGTCCTATTCAGGAAAAATGAAAGCAGCCGAGATCAAGCCCGCATAACCACTTTACCATGCATGGTGCTTCACAATACTTGTATTATGCAGGGAAATGCCATCTCGAGGAAGCTTGATTTGTCTCTTGATGAAAGTGGTGGAAAGAGGAACAGGGACGAATTGAGAAAGTTGCTGCAGATGAGAGACTGTCTAAGCATAAGGGATGCTTCTTGGGAGGCAGCCAGAATCAGAGATGCACTCTGTGAGAAATTATGGCTAGAGAAGCAAACGGGGAAAGTTTCATAAACCCTAAAAAACTCATTATTGCTATTATTACTATTCATGCATGTAGTATCCACTTTGCACAAACTTACAGCAAAATTGCTACCAATCTGCTAGTTTGGCTGAAATAGCAGAGCAGTTGCAAAACATTCAGTCAGTTTTACGTGTATTTGATAATGGGGAACTTGTGAGTATCCCTGATACCATGGAAGTGGTGGTATGGCTTTTGTTTGATCTGATGTAGTATGCTAGAATATTTTAAAAAGATGCAACAAACCTGTCTATTAAGGTTATTTTTAAATCACAGACTTTTTAACCAGATTGTACAAGACAGGATAAAGTGATTTCCTTTGGGCCATGAAACAGAAACCATGAGTTTGATACTATTTTGGACAACAACTACTGCAAACTGTA